AGGTAGGGAATGCTTTGAGTGAAAAAGGACATTTGATGAACGAACACAGATTTTCTAACATAAAGCAAGAATTACATACATAGGTTTGTCAATTATGCACATCAACAAAAGGAGGAATAGAGAAACTAAAGGAGTGCCGTATGCCACTCAGAATCACTTTCATGTGGGAGGCTACACCAGTATGATAAATACCTAAAATAAAGACATATTTTAAGTAGATCAAAGAACCTCCATGAAAAAGTCCAGCTCTGAAGGAACAAGCAGGAATAACCATTAAAGACACCTGGTTGAGCTTGAGATAAAAGAAACGACAAACTACCCCGAAGCTTTTAATAAACACAATTATTAAAAGTGTAAAAATAAAAATATTTGTGCAAACACGAACATTTGCAAAAAAACAAAAGCAAACCCTCAATTAGTAAATGAGGCATGGCAGGCAATAAACCAGTTGGTCAATGGGAGAGCTTCAATCCCAAATGAAATAACCATTGTTTAAAACTGCAGGAGAAAGGGCAGTGAAAGCTCTAACAGCAATACCCATGCTTCCCCAAAAATAAGACCCTGTCCTGTATTTTTTTTTTGCTACCAAAAAAGACACCAGGTCTTATTTTGGGGGGATGCCATCAACTGACTAACCTCACTTGTATGCATTGCCTCTGGCCTCCTTTTCACTGTCAGAGGCCTTCAGTAACTTGTTTTTCTGTGGCCAGAAAGGCTTTCCTGAAGGCCTCAGCAGCTGATAACAGAGCTCTGGATCGATCCAGAGCTTTGTTATCAGCTACAGAGGCCTTCAGGAAAGTCTTGCCAGCCTTGCCAGCTGCAGAAGAAATGGGCCAGGAAGGCAGGTGTCGGGGTGTGCGAGGCCTGGCTACAACTATCCAAAGGTAAGTAGTAGGGCAGCTCCAACTCCCATCACCACCCTAGCTTAATTTTTACCAGTGCACTCTGGAGTGGGCAGGATCTTAATTAGGGTTTATTTTGGGGGGGTAGAGCTTATATTGGGCGCACATGTAAAAAAATCAAGCTAGGACTTACTTTCAGGGTAGGTCCTATTTTCGGGAAAATGGTAGATCAACCAATTTGGATAAGTCTGTATGCTCAGAGATTGGAAAATATCTAACAACTAAAATGTGTAAATGTTGAATCACTTGCACAAGTTTATCACACAAATATTTGCTTTAAAACATTACAGGAAAAATGTCAAATGAGCAGGCAGGCAAAAGGCTGAAGGACAGTTCAGATAACTAGCACAAAATGGTTAGGAGAGAAGAACATTTGAGGGCGGCTTATCTTTGCTTTGTTGAATACAGCAAAATCACAAAAGGATATGGACCATCCTGTCAGTGTCAAGCAACTGGCTTAGCAAATTCACAATGGGGAGTGTAAATGACTCATACTTTTCTTCTCTGAGGCTCCAACTTAATAAAAGAGAGCCAGGATGTTGGAAAAGTAAACAGGAGACTAAAGAAGAAGGCAATGATAACTTAAACAAAATATAAAGGATAAGAACAAAGACCAGAATATTTAGAGCAGTGTTCTTTTTACAGGTGATATACAATTGTGAAGGTTTGACAATGAGAAAGAGAAAGACGACTGATGTGTTAAGTCATCTGGAGACTATCATGAAGTACAACAAAGACCCATCAATCAGTTCTGGACCAAATAAAGACTGCTGCTTAGCTGACATTAACAATCAGTCAACAAAAGATCAAGAAACAAGAACTCACATATTTTGGGCATGTGAGGTAAGTGGACGACAGAGTAGAAAAAAACAACCCAGGAGGGATTAAAGTTATGGTGAATGGGTGCGATCCGAGAGATTACAGGATTGTTCTTGGAAGAGTTACACATTTTTGCTGCAGGCAAGTCACAGCGAAAAGCTTTTGCCCCGTAACAATCACTAGGAGTCAACTCAACGATGCGTAACTAAGTTGAGGCAGATCACTCTAATGCATAAACAAGGACGCATTTCCTCCTCACTGAAAAGATCCACTGGCCTCCAACTTTGTAATTTATACAGCCTGCCACGCAAAAAGGACTTCTGAAAAAGAAAGGAGAAATAGCAGGATGTGCAAAAAAGCTCTGAAGTACTTAGAATCTGTTATATGTTCATTAGATGCAAAAGTGTTTATGCAATGTTTTCTTCTCCAACAGATATATAACAGATATATATATTATATAATATATATTATATATAACAGAGGAGCCTCTGTGGCACAGTGGTTAGAGTTCAGTACTGCAGGCTACTTCTGCTGCAGCAGCTGCCTACAATTTGGCAGTTCAAATCCCACCAGGCTCAAGGTTGACTCAGCCTTCCATCCTTCCAAGGTGGGTAAAATGAGGACCCAGATTGTTGGGAGCAATAGGCTGACTCTGTAAACCACTTAGAGAGGACTGTAAAGTACTGTGAAGTGGTATATAAGTCTAAGTCAGTCAGTCTGTCCTTCCTCCCTCCCTCCCTTTCTCATTCTTCCTGGTGGTGCAGTGGTTAGATCCAGCCCACCGGCCTTGAGTTTGACACCCCTGCCCTATAGCTTACTCCATGGAAAAACTGGGCTGAGAAAGAGGGACAAGCCCAAAGTGATCAACACGGATTCCATTGTTGAGGCTGGACTTAAACCATGATCCACCAGAATCACATCCCATTGATGCCAGTTTGACCCTAAAAGCTTGCACAGTTAAGAGGCAGGGCCTCCCACCATCCGAAGGGAGGCTGAGAAGCAAATCAAAGCCAAAAGACATTCAGGCCTTACAATGGGCAGTAGCAACAACCTGGAAGAACAGGAGGAAGAGCTATAACCAAGACAAGGGTCAGATAAAAGAAAGTTGAGTCCAAAGCAGGAATGTTATTTGATAAAAGCGTCTTAGACTTGACATTCCTTAGCTCTCTTGTGGATAGAGAGAGGGGGTAGCATACCCCCTTGCACGGTTCTGTAACTAACCATATAATAAAAGTAATATTAATTTACGTGTCTTTTGTTTCCTAGTTTGATCTATTTTTGGAGGGCCGACAAGCCTTCCCATGGATGGTGTTTCTCCTCTTGAACCCTCTCCACCATTCCTGGAGTTAGCAAAAAGCAACCTGTCCTCACGGCCAATCTCCTAATTTTCCCCAAGGCCAATCTTAGAGAACAGGCCCACTTTGAGACTCATCTTGGAGGACCCTTGTAATCAAAGGACGTGATCGAGTGGATGAGGGAAGAATCTCAAGACAAAGGTGGCAAAGAAGGCTGGCCAGAACAACTTATGATGGATGGACTCCCAACTCCCAGAAAATTTCAGCTACTGGCTGTGGAATTCTGGGACCCGAGTCCATCCATGCTAGTTGCCAAGGCTGAAAAACATGGCCATGGTCTGCATTAAAAGGCTACAATGCAGCACACAGCATCAATAGTATACTCTCCATTGTCCCCAATCTCGGTTGTTTGCTGATGTTTGGACTTCAACTCTCTGAATTCTCATCTAAGGGCCATGCTGGCTGGGGAATTCTGGGAACTGACTCAACCACCTTAAAGTTGCCAAGGTTGAAAAACACCTGCTCTACCCGTTTTTGCCATGTGCGCAGACGGATTCTGGAGAGAGCCACAACCCACTTATATCAGGAGTGGTGCAGTGGTTAGAACGCAGTACTACAGGTTAATTCTGCTGACTGCTGGATGCCTGCAGTTCGATTCTCATCAGACTCCAGGTTGACTCAGACTTCCATCTTTCTGAGGTGGGTAAAATGAGGACCCAGATTGCTGGGGGCAAGAGGCTGACTCTCTAAACTGTTTAGAGAGGGCTGTAAAGCACTGTGAAGTAGTATATAAGTCTAAGTGCTGCTGCTATTCCTTCCATCCTTCCTCCTTCCCTCCCTGGCTCAAGGTTCACTCAGCCTTCCATCCTTCCGAGGTGGGTAAAATGAAGACCCAGATTGCTAGGGGCAATAGGCTGACTCCCTAAACCACTTAGGGGTGTAAAGCACTGTGAAGTAGCATATAAGTCTAAGTGCTAGTGTTATTGCTATAGCCCTTCCTTCCTTCCTATTCTCCTTCCGGGTGGCACAGTGGTTAGAATGTAGTATTGCAAGCTGACTCTGCTCACTGCCAAGAGTTCGATCCTGACCGGCTCAAGATTCACTCAGCCTTCCATCCTCGAGGTTGGTAAAATGAGAACCCAGATTTTTTGGGGGGCGGGGGGCAATATGGTGACTCTGTAAAACTGCTCAGAGAGGGCTGTAAAGCATTGTGAAGTGGTATAGAAGTCTAAGGGCTATTGCTATTATGGGCTATAGGCTTTGTGGTGAAGAGCACCAACCGGAGCCACCAAGGGAAAATTCCCAATCCGCTGCAAACGGAGACTCTGGTTGGACAAGTGTGCCCGGTATGACTCACCACCAAGGTAGAGGGCTGGGAGAGGCAGCATGGGGGGGGGGGGGCTGCAAAGGCACCCTTTTGTTGCTGGGGAGAGCCCCCTCCCCATGGCCCAATGACCCCGTTGCCCCCCCCGCTTCTCTTGCTCCCCTCTGACCCCTCCTTGCCCCCTCCCCGCTTCCAATGCTTCCCCCCCACCCCATCTTCCTATCTTTGCGCCCCAGGCTCACCCCAGTGATGGTATCACGGCTCCTTCCTCCGGCCGGGACGGGAACGGGCTGAGGCGCACATCCTCCGGCCGGAGGGAAGATTCCTGGCTAAGCCCCGTGCACAAGACCGGTGGGTGGGGGGTTCCCCGGAACGAGCCGTCCAGAACCGGCAGCCGGATGAGATTCAGGGAAGCTGCTTTCCCAGAAAAGCACGCCCGTTTCCCGAACGGAGCCCAAACCGCTACGGAGAGCCGACCCAGCCCGCCGCCGCCGCCGCCGCCGCCGCCTTCCCCAGCCACGTAACGGGAGCGAACGCTGCCTGCTTCCCTGAAGAAGCGGCCGCTTCCCGATAGGAAGCGGAAGCGCCTGGTGTGAGGGAGGGGGCGTGGTTAGAACTCTCAGGGAAGAACTCTTTCCGGCCGGCCCCGCCGCGCGCGCAGATGCCTTCGTGTCGCGGGGGGATGACGTAGCGGCCCCGCCGTTGCCTGGTGATGGGGTCCGAGCAGAGCGCCGAGGCTGAGGGCCGCCCTCACGACCCTGCGACAGGTGGGCGCTCCTGAGAGGGGCGGGTGAACCCTCCGAAGCCTGGATATCGAGTGGGGAGGGATGGGGGGAGCGCGGGCGAGCGGCGGCATCCGCGTAGCTTCGCTTCCCTGCTTTTCCCCTCGTTGTAGTCCGAAGCGCTCCCTGCCCGAGACGGGGCGTTCCCGGCTGCTCAACAGCGGCCCCAAACCCTCGTTGTGCTGAAGAGCTGCGGGTAGAGAGGGGCTGGATGCGAATCGTCCCTTGGAAGCTAGAAAGCGGGGTAGACTGCAGCTGGGTTGTTAAGTCTCGGCAGCTTTCTGAGGTATGTCCCAAAGGTACTTTTTTTTTTTTTCTTCAAGAGGCAACTGGACTTTCTGGTTTTTTGTTTTTTTTGAAGACGTTTCGCTTCTCACCCAAGAAGCTTCTTCAGTTCTGACTGGATGGTGGAGGAAGGATTTATACTCCTTGCAGACAGCTGGTCATTTGCATCCTTTTAGAGAGTCACTTGGAGGTTTATCTGTATCCTCAGGGTCACCTGAGTGGTGCAAATGGGTATGGAGAGCCTTCTTGAAACTGTTGAAAGGACCATCATCTCTCTCCACTCTACAACCCAGTCCTTTCAACAGTTCCAAGAAGGGTCTCCACACCTATTTGCACCACTCAGCTGACCCTGAGGACACAGATAAACCTCCAATGGCCTCAATGACTCTCTAAAAAGAATGCAAATGACCAGCTGTCTGCAAGGAGTATAAATCCTTCCATTTCCCCACCATCCAGTCAGAGCTGAAGAAGCTTCTTGGATGAGAAGTGAAACGTCTTTAAAGAAAAACCAGAAAGTCCAGTTGCCTCTTTTGGGGGGGGGAAAAGGCACTTTTGGGACAACCATGAACTGAATGATTGAGAATTTCCATAGACTTTCAGAGGTATGGACTTCAACTCCCAGAATTCCCTAGCCAGCCATACTAGGAAATTCTAGAATTGAAATGAGAAATGTGTATTTCCAGTGAATTATTTTATTCACAGGCATCATTTTGACCCATGGTTGTTTATGCTTTGCGATAGATAGATAGATAGATAGATAGATAGATAGATAGATAGATAGATGAGAGAGAAAGAAAGAGAAAGAAAGATCTACTTTAAGTTTGGAAGCCAGTGAGAAGTAATTCATGCTTTCTCAGCCCCAGGAAGGGCAAACCAATTCTGAAAAACCTTCCTATGAAAACTGCAAAGATTAATCCAGGTACTTGCCAAGAGTCAACATTGACTCAGACATCAAAAAGAGATGAGAAGTAATGAAGACGGTTTTGGTTTTGTGTCCTTTTTTTCAGCATCTCCTTCACCAGCCAAGCAACGAGCTAAAATGGATGATATTGTGGTGGTGACCCAAGGGACTCAGGCATCACGGAATGTCAGCAGTGACCCAGATGTCATAAAACTACAAGAAATCCCCACTTTCCAACCTCTGTTGAAAGGTAAAAATATCCAAAGTCCACATAAGTTGGATAATGGTTTCCTCTTCCCCCAACACTGTTGATTCCTTGTGTTTCATAACATTCCTATTTTTCCTCTTATTTAGTCTCCTTTGTTTTGGGCTGTTAAGTTTTGAAAGCAGTAAAAGGAAATGAGCAAAATCAGTAATGGCTTCTCCTCTTCCTGTTCCTCATACAGTCCTTCAACTATTTTGTAATTGAAGTTATAATATTGTTGGCTTTAAGACTTTTGTTCACCAGAACAAAAAATATGTTTGAAAAATTGCCATCAAATTTTATGTTTGTGTAGACTTGAATGTGGAGCAGTCCTTTCTGTGTAGCCATCTGCCACTTTTTCCATGTAATGTGATGCTGGGGGCAGCGTTGCCTAAGGCTACTAAAGTTCACTCTCCTCCCCAGGTGGGATGTGGTGGCTCAGTGGTTAAAATGCTGACTCTTAGACAGCTTGGCAGTTCTAGACCTGAATGCCACAGGACAGAGTTACTGTCACTTGGCCCAGCTCCTCCTGCCAACCTAGTAGTTCGAAAGCATGCAAAGGCAAGTATATAAGCATGCGAGAAGGTAACTGCTCTGTGCTTTGCTGTAGGCTCTGTGCTGCAGCATGATGTCATGCTGGTCATATGACCACGGTAATGTCTCAGTGCTGTCTTTGTCTTAAGAAACAGAGATGAGCTCTGCCCCCTAAAGTTGGTCACAATTAGCAGGGTAAAACCTGTGGGGATGCTTTTACCTTATGTTCTTCCCAACATCATTACTAACTTTAAATGTTACTCTTGTGACAGATGGCGTGAAGAAACTAGTTACAGTACTGAAAGGTATCATTCTGGTTTTGCAGTCTTTTTTTGTAGTGTGTGGCTACCATGTTATAGTTCAAGGTAAAGTTTTTTACAAGACAGGAAAACTATCTTTCCATCAAAATTGCCCAGAGTTGATGTATCAGTGAGATGTGCAGCACAGACATTTAATACATAAATGAATAAAGGTACTTCTAGAGGAAGGCTGCATAAAACAGTTTTTCCAGGTGCCTTGTTAACATGTATTGTCTTAAGCTCATTGCCAGCTTTATTTTTCATGCTGCTACTATTACAAATAAAGTTAAAATTTGAATCCAGTGTGGTCCTGTTTATACTTTAAAGTTTTGAATAAAGACAATTGCTTGACAACCTGATATAGAAAAGTTTGAATAAATATTTTTTGGGACTTAAGTCTTTGGCAGTCATTGGTTGAACTGCCTAAAGGTGGAAAGTGGGGGCAGGGAACAATTCTCAGTAGCTGTTTTTGGTTGAGCTGTTTTTTAAGTACATGATGCTTTATATGTAGCACCCAGTGCCACCCTTTGAAACAAATGCTACTTTTTCTGGGAATATGTTACAGCTGCAGAATACCAGGAATGGTTGCAAGTTTCTTAAAGGATTGAAGTCTGATGCTGTGTGAGGGATCCCTCATTTATACCCAAAAGGTCAGGTTTCCCATTGTTATGCTGGTGAGGTAGAGCCAGGAGTTGAAGTTCACACGCTATGAATCAGAGCTTCTCTGACCAGACATGATCTGCACTAAATAGGAGCCTCCTAATTTCTAGACTGAAAAGGGGATAGCTAAATTTTGGTCAACTTGAAAAAGCAGCAGGAAAAGATCTAAAATTAAAATAGCAATAGCACTTAGACTTCACAACCCTCTCTAAAAAGTTTACAGAGTCAGCCTATTGCCCCCAACAATCTGGGTCCCATTTTACCCACCTTGGAAGGATGGAAGGCTGAGTCAACCTTGAGCCTGGCGAGATTTGAACTACCAAATTGCAGGCAGCCGGCAGGCAGCAGATGTAGCCTGCGGTACTACATTCTAAACACTCCACCACCACGGCTCAGATGAGAGAGCAAGATTTTCATTTGAGTTCTGTGTTCAGCAGTAGGTGCGTGTGTGACTACTATATCTTGTCTGCAGTGAAGTATCTGCCCTAGCTGAGCCGTGTCAGTGAACTTCTGTTACAAGCATATACGAATTTGACTGTCTGTGAATTAGACATTTAATTATGTCCCTGCTGGTAAGGGAAGGACTATTAAATGCCCAAGTAATGAAATATGAAACTTGAACATTGACTTGAAACAAGAAGCCAGGCATTTAATACAGAGTCAGTATTCATATATCTATCAAATTTATATGGCTTTATCAACATCCTGACATCAATATCAAGGAATGTGTTTCTGGAAGTTGGGTGAAATCCTTTTACTATTCAAGATTGATCCGTGCATGGTGAATTCTGTTCTTCATTCAATGCCGTTGTTAAGCATCTGGGTACCTTTGTTTGATTGTAAAAAGTGAAATGTTGTATCGGAGGCAAATATCCAGTGTTTTTTTAAGAGCCAACTCTTTGTTGATCATAGTTAAGGTTAGTTGCAACTGAGTGAGGCATCTCAACATCATCTATCCACCCATTCACATGAGCCTTTGATCAGGTAGTACTGCAGGCAAAGCTGAAGTAGCCTAAACTGCACCAATGCCTGCTTTTGTTGTATGCCTATCCTGAGGAAGCCCTGTGACTCTTTGCCTGTAGCAAATGATGAAGGAAAGATTAGCTTTTCATCCCCTAGGCCAGGTGTGTCAAACTCACGATCCGTGGGCCAGATGTGTCATGCACTGGCCACACCCACCCCAGGTTTAGCAAAGGAGAGAAAAGTTGTGATATGTCATGTGACAACAATGTGTTGTTGTGAGTTTGACACCCCTGCCCTAGGCACAGGTTTCACCTTCCAAAGCTGCTGTTGGTTTTAGTGTTTCTCAAATGTTTCCATTACTGTTGGCAGAAGTCTCCCTCAAGAAGCTGATTTGAAGCAAATAATGACTTAACTTTACCTTGTGGGGTTCCATCCACCCTGATTATTATTTGGGTCACAGAAAACTTCATTTTGAGATATGGTCCCAAAGCAACATTTTAGTACTGTGAGTGGAAGAAGTAATTGGAGGTTCCAAATACTTATTAGTATCTTTAAGGGGATGTGTTGCCTTCTGGGGTACCATTCTTGTATTACTGATTTTTTAAAAACAACAACAAATAGCTGTTTGCCAACTTTGGTAAAATACTTTTGACAAATATTGTAAAATATTTTGTACATAAAAATTCTAAATCCAACAGGTGGCACTGTTTCCCACCTCTCTGATGCATAGCAGTTCTGTTGGAGAACTTCAAAAATAAAAAACAACCCTACTATTTAAAGTGATCAGAAGTATTTGCTTAAGGCTTGGAAAAGATCCTCAGAGCCCACAGATGAATGGGAAGGAGCCAGATTTGTAACATGGAGGGTACATTCTCTTTTGTCCAAGTGAAAAATTGGCCTCATGCTCCTTTTAATGATGAGTGGAAATGAGGAAGCCATCATGGACTGGATTATTATATTCTGAAGTTCGAAAATATGTCAGAATGGTAAATGCTGTTTAACATTAGGTATGTTGGCACACACAAAAAATCCAAACTTCACATTATACTGTATATTAATGGGCTGAGAACAATCAAGGCCTGATTAGGAAAAGAATATTATCATCCTAGTGATGAGTCGATGAAATTATCAATCTAGCTAACATGTTGGGAAAAAAAAACCCATCCCTGTAATCATCATTTATATGTTTGGTTATTTTTTAAAAAAAACACTTTTTTGCATTTTTCTAAGTAAAGGAGATTAATGGGCCCCTTTTAAACTCCATTTTACCACCTGTTCCAAAGATTGAAATTATATTTGCTGTTTTATAGACTTTAGGAATAAACATTGATGTTAAATTACAATCTGGACTCAAGGTTTATTTTTTTATTAATCATGTATGTTTACAGTTTTGTCTCTGTCCATCTCATTCTTGTCCTTTAAAAGCCAGCTCTAGCATAATGATCTGTTTTACATCCCCAGTAATGTAAAGAATGAAGTTCTGTTCTTTTTTTTAGGCTAGACAAGGCAACTCAAATTACTCAAGTCATGCAAGGTTGGGAGATAGTTTGATAGGAGGAAAGTGGAATTTTGGCACAGGGATCCCACTGGAGAGAGTGCAAGTATAAATTCAGAGCAGAACAGTCACAAGAATCTTGAGTACTGTTTAAAGCAGTGTTTTTCAACCATGGCAACATTAAAATGTGTGGACTTCAGTGGAATTCTGGGAGCTGAAGTCCTCACATCTTAAAGTTGCCAAGATTGAGAAACATTGGTTTAAGAAAACAGGATACCAGAATAGCAAGAGGTCTTTAGGGCAAGCTACATGCCCAGATTCAAGGGCAGTTCCACTCAAGGAGTTCATAAGAACTCTTTGGTTTTGAGACCTGAAGTCAGGATGAATTGTAATAGTGTTTCCCAACCTGGGTATAAGGTATGTGGACTTCACTTCCCATAATTCCACAACTAGCTTGAACATTGCTAAATTTTCTGGGAATTGAATCCCATGCCTCTCAAAGTTTTTCAGGTTGAGAAACACTGAGCTACAAGAAAGGAATCAGGTTGCTCGTGGAGAATCAATCAAGATATAAGAAAGACTCTTTGTTACTAATTGATTAATGCTACTTATTGATGTAAAATCTATGCTTTTAGGAAGAAAATGCTGACAATAGGCATCACAGGGGATGTTCTGCAGGTACTCAGGTGATTGATATGAGGGGAATTTTTTGAGATTGGATGGCTAAGGTGCCAACCTGAGGATCAAGTAGGGGTTTCCATGGCACCACTGACCCCCACCTCTGAAAACCACTTCCTATGGAGTGTTATGCTTTTATGTTCCAATAAATTGAGGTTGTGTTTGCTTCAATTGGATTATTGCCTCTACTGCTTTCCCCACAACTATATTCCTGCTTACAGTATTGGAAAGTGGTACAGTTTAACTTGGACGTAGTCAATTTTGAGAAAAAGTGGCCTTCAACAAATTAGTGTGCTGAGGCTCTTGTTGGTTCATTGATTTGCTGTGATCGTTTCTCTCCCTTGGTTGTCATTGTCCCAGTTTAAAAAACTCTGGACAATCATTTAAATTGGGTCATATATTTTTGGTTTTGCTTCTTTGGCCTTGCTTTTTTTTGCATCCATCATTGGGAAAAAGAGATCTCAGTATTCAGCTTGTACAGTATTTTGGGCTTTCTATTTTTACTTCAGATTATTATTTAATCATATTGTTACTCAGATTATTGGTGTGGTTGTCATAAAGGGAGTCTTTTAAAACCTTTTATAACAGTCTGGATTTTTTTTTTTTTTTGGTCTATAGCCATCAAAGATCACAAGAAAACAAGCAACTAGTGCAAACAGCAAAAGGCCGCCAATAACCTTGGGGCTTTGAAACTTTGCAAGTGTTTGTTAGAGTGAAATTCTCCTGTGTATCACCAAATAAGAATGAGCTGAGGTCACTCTTGGCAAGAGCAGGCCTGTTTTTTTCCACACAAACAACACAATATAAGAAGTGGCGTCAAGTAGGAGTAAGGAGGAAGTAAAAGGAAACTCGGGTTGAGTGAAGAGCAGTTTATAAATATATTTTACTTGTGTATGAATGTGTGTATATTATTGTGCGTCCATGTGTATGGCTGTGTGTGTGTGTGTGTGTGTGTGTGTGTAGCCTTTTTTTTCTTCTTTACAAACTTAGAGGAACGTAGCATAAAGATGCTTTTGATAGTCTCCAACATTTGCAGCAATGCTTGTCCTAGAGTTCCCTGTTTAAGGTTTCATAATTCTTTTTGGAAAGACTATGTCTCCTTGAGCAAGCCATAGTTTAAGCCTCCAGATTTCTGGCCGCTTTACATTTGGTTTTGCAACCAACAATGATCCTTTTAAAGGTTAGGTGGCTGGCAGATAGATGGAATCCAATCCACAGTAGCTCTGGTCTGCCATAAGTATAGCCACAATTGTCTTTCTTCAGATTATCCATCACAGTTGTTTTCCTCTGCTCCAAATTGGACAAACACTCTCCATGGTTTCTAGGTCTACCCATCACAAGAGTTATTTGCTTTGCTGGGAGTTTTGTTTGTTGTGATTATTTGATTGATAAAAGGCACTGCTGCAGTGTGTTTTTACTGTAGCACAGCAATGGGCCACCAATGCTCTATTGGCATAGATCAGGGACCTTATGTACCATGATGTTTTCACACAGCCGTTCCCGTTTGTGGCTTGGCTTCACATATGTGTTTTTAGATAGCCGTTCTTTGTGTGAAGCTGAAGATGTTAAAAAATATAGGTTGAAGTCCCAGAAAATACACAGCTAATTTCATGCATGTTAAAGTGATTTGGAATTTCCATTCCTTCTACAGCATACTCATTAACCTCAAATAAACTGCATGTTTTTTTTAAAGTTTCCATTAGCAATTTTTAATGGTGTACTGCAAAAAAGACTAATCAGTAATATCCTAAGCTTAGACAATTCTAAGATTATGTCTGGAGTAGCTCTCTGAATCCCTGCTGAGAATTACAAATGATTTTGCTTCTTTAAAAAGTATCTGCATTGAAGAGGTACCCCCACTAATGAATTGGGGTGGAAGTTAAATCCTGAATGAGTTTTCATTTGATATCAAATCCAGTTATCTTGCTGTGAAGTATAGAAAGTAGCCTTATGCTGAATAGGTGCAGTGTTTCTCAACCTGGAGAACTTTCAGATGTGTGGATTTCAACTCCTAAAATTCTGGCATCAAATTATCAAACCACTGTTTGTAGAGCTGTCTGAATTGACCAGTATCTTCTACTTCACATTAAAACTTGAATAAAGCTTTCCCCACTAAAACTTGAATAAAAGGACATTTTAGAATAGACT